GAAGCCCTATAGGTGCGGGGACTGCGGGAAGAGCTTCTCCTGGAGCTCCCACTGGGAACGGCACCAACGGATCCACACCGGAGAACGTCCCTATCAATGCGGGGACTGCGGGAAGTGCTTTGGGAGGACGTCCCACCTCTACCGCCACCAACGGACCCACGCCGGGGGCCAACCCCACGTGTGTGCTGAGTGTGGGAAGAGCTTCAACAGCACCCTCCACTTCCAGAAGCACCAACGGGCTCATGCAGGACCTCGCCACGCTTGTCCCGACTGCGGGAAGGTCTTCGCTGATGGGTCAGCCCTGGCCAAGCATCGGCGGGTTCATGGCGGGGAGAAGCCCTTCCCGTGTCCACGCTGTGGACGGCGCTTTGGCTCCATCGGCATCTGCGGGGGCACGGAGAGGAACCGCTCGAGGAGCCATCAAAGGAGCTGGCGCCGTGTTAACGGAGGGAGGGAGGAGAAGGGGACGCGTTGGGTTGACCCCCTGTTGGGTGGCTCCTCGGCCGGGTGTGGGTTGTCCCCTTTGGTGGCACCGAGCGGGGTCTTGAGGACGTAGATGTGTAGGGTAGAGTAGGTAGGTAGATAGGGGAGGATGGAGGATGGGAAGTGAGGGGCAGATCCCTATGGAATATCAGGCTCAATCCTGCAACCGTGCTCCTTCTCCATGGGTAATCCAAGAGGAACCATCTCCACAGCCAAGAGGAACCATCTCCATGTCCAGGAGGAACCATCTCCACAGCCAGGAGGAACCATTTCCACGGCTAGGAGGAACCATCTCCATGGGTGTTGGATGCTGCAGGGATGGAAGGGGATGGGGTTGGAGGTGTGGGACATGCAGAAGACCCCGAAACATGTGAGGTGGCTTCATCCCACCGTCCCCATTCCCCCAACCTTGACCAGCACCCAAAGCCCGAACCCTCCCGGCCACACTTGGCCCATGATGACACCATCGAATGAGCCCGTTTGGGCCAAAATAGCCCAAATTTGGGGCAAAATAGCCCCATTTGGGGGCTTTGGCGTTGAGGAACAAGCGCTAGGTCCACCTCCAGCTGGTCGTGGCCACCATGGAGGGCTTCACTGAAGGTCTTCATTGTGCTTATGCCATGAGAGCCCACCTGAGGTTGGAGGAACCCAACGTGATGGGGTTGAGCTGGAGGCAGATGGGGACATGGAGGGTTTGTCCTCAAGCCCTTGGGTTGCTCCATCAACCACCACCTCATTGGGGATGGGGAGGAGGTGGCACCATCTGTGGTTGGAACGAAGCCGCCAGGAGATCACGGGGAGATGTTTCCTCCTGGATACAAGGAGAAGCCTTGGGATGAAGCTCAGGGATGGGAGGAGGACACAGAGCAAGGGGGGGGCTGTGGTGGCCTTGGTGGCCTTGGCCCTGCTCCATCTCTTGCCAAGCCGAGCAGAAGCTGTGTTTGTAGTGAATAAACTAGATTAGTGCAACCCCCACTTGGTGGCTTCTTCTTCTTCTCCTTGGAGGAACTTGGGGATCCCGGCTCTTCCCACATGGAAAAGCAAAGGTTTGGGGGTCACTTTGGGGATGGGGGGGGCTCCATGTATGTCCCACAGTGGCCCCGGCCAAAGGAGCCTCCATTGGGCCTGGAGACCTTCAGATGGGCAAGAGAGGAGCTCCAAGGAGGTGCCTCAGTGGGTACTGGGTTGATGGGCAAGAGCTTCTCCATGGGCATCTCCATGGGCATCTCCATGGGTATCTCCATGGGTATCTCCATGGTCATTCCGTGGGCATCTCCATGGGTATCTCCATGGGTATCTCCATGGTCATTCCGTGGGCATCTCCATGGGCATCTCCATGGCCATTCCGTGGGCATCTCCATGGGTATCTCCATGGGTATCTCCATGGTCATTCCATAGGTATCTGCATGCTCATCCCATGGGTATCTCCATGCTCATTCCATGGTCATTCCATGCTCATCGCATGGGTATCTCCTTGGACATCTCTTTGGGATCGTCCATAGGGATTCTCCAGTGTCTCCTATAGGAGTTGACCTCACATTAAGGAGTGTGGGGGGGTGAATCCAAGCTCGGAGGT